CAGGAATGCGAAGAGGCAGATCTACCGGCTGCCCGGTGGCACCGAACGGGTCATTAACACGAAATGCACGACCGTCGTCCAGGACGTTATTGAGGAGATGTGCAACGTCATCTCGGTGAGAAGTCCGCATGAGATGGACGAGTTCTCATTGTACTGCATTGTCGATGGTGACGCGTTCACCATGCCGCTCGCCAGAGACGAGTACGTCTTGGACGTGACCACAGAGCTTCAAAAGAACCACCAAGTGTTCTACTTAATATTCTGCAGGTATATTCGCAGTCACGTATTTGTTCCATCGTTGTATTATAATTTAATTATATTTAATTTATAATTTAATTATATTTAATTATATTTAATATTATATTTTTTATATATGATTCGTTTTGTATGAAACATATCATTTTTCTTTTTATATATTTCTCTAAACATCTCTTTAAATATTTCCGTTATTTTCAAGACACGAAAATATATCTAAAACAGGAATTATTTTAAAGGGGTGAATTTTAGGTGAATTTCTTATTTTATTAAGAATATTATTCTTTCAAAATCGCACGGCTCTTAAAAATTATATTTTGACGTTCTTTAAAATTAAACCATACGAGATTTTGACATAAAATAAATTTATATTGTTAATATCAAACATTTTTTTTATACTTTCTTCTGATATATTTTAATATAAAATATATATGAAAAACGTAAAAGATTGTTTTCTAAACAGTTTTCAAACATGCGCGATATCTATAAGAGAAAACATAACCTCTTTTTGTAGAGATTTAATGCGAAATACTCACCAGTTTATTTAAAATAGTACGATTATTGTTATATTAGTATAATAAGTAATTAGTATTATAATTATTATAATTATATATAATATATCTTAAGCACTCGAGATCGTTATTAGAAAGATGAAGATCGGTTTGACAGAAATTGCAAATTTATTATATCACACAAAATTCACGAAAACGTTTCTTAAAAATTTTTCTAGATCTGTCTGGTACTATCCTCTGCGACTCGATGCACCGTTGTACATAGAAGTCGTCTTTAATCAAATCGCTCCCGATTATCTGGAAGGACTTCTGCTAGTTATATCCGGAGAACATTTACCTCAGGAAATTATTGTAAGTATAAAACGCGACATCTGCTTAAGAGAGAGAGAGAGAGAGTTTCACTAAAGTGAAGAATGATTAACTGATGACGAGCGTGTTTCATAGTATGACATGGCGCAAATAGCGGCACTGCTGCACAGAGCAGCTGACATGGCGCACGAGCCTGCGACGAAGGAGATTAAGTACCTGCTGCCGAAACCGGCGCTCAGCTTGAGGGAACCTAGGCCGCAACAATGGTCCAATATGGTCCAGCAGGCTTGGAACAACGTTCAGCACTCCTCGGCGGCTGTTTGCAAGGCACAGGTGCTCGGTAAGTCGAGTCATTTTCGCGACAAAAATAATAGCGTTTTATACGTAACACTATTTTGTATTTCACACAAATTATATCTTACACGTGCACGAATAAAGGTGAAAAAAAAGTTTCTCCCTGACAAACAGTCAAGAGCGATAAAAGTTTAGAAAATTGTCATGGGATTAAAAACTATACATAAATATATATTTTTCTTATTTTTAGAAATATTGTCCAAGTGGCCGCTTTTCGGCTCGAGCTTCTTCGCGGTAAAGCGAGTACCCGAGGGCAAGGAAAAGGGCGCCGATCACATCCTCGCTCTGAATCGACACGGAGTGCATTTCATCGATTTACTCACGCACGTGAGTTACTTTCGAGAGAGACTTTCTCTTCCCAACAGCGTTTTCCTCTCTTTTTTTCTCTACGTGTAATTATTTCAGGAAACACTGTACCATTATCCCTACTCTGAGGTGATCTCCACCAGGAAGGTCAAGTCCGAGGAGGGCGCGCTCTACCTCGACATGAAATGCGGCAATCTGATGCAGCAGCGTATCACCAGGCTGCAGACGGAGCAGGCGCACGAAATCTCCCGCCTTATCAAGCAATACATCACCATGGAACAGAGAACGTCCAACGGTCAGAATGTCGGCGTCGGACTCGGCATGAGATAAGCGCACCTTCGCGACGACGGTCCTTCCTTCGCGACCGATACTTGATATCCGGATTAATTAATCTACGGGGTCATAATTGCAATCGGATTAAGCCCTCAATCGATGTAGCATGAGGATATCGTAGCTGAAGCCCGCCGAATAATTTACATATCGCGGTACTGTTCTTAACGATATGATTCGTGTATAAAGAATACCAACCTTTTTAGAGTGTGTTTACGAACTACATAGGATACCAGGTAGGGTAGATCCGGAGCCCCACAGATAATGACCCGGGATGGATAACGGGATGGATATTCGTAGGACTCGCTGGAAGGAAGGATCGTGAAAGGAACGGAATGCTCAAGTATCTAAACCGTCTATGTTAAACGGAGATATAAGTCGAAAAATATGGACTTGTGTGTATGTGTGTACAGCATTTATTTATATTGTTTAAAAAAGAAAAAAAAAACATATAAGAGCAAACAAGGATACGCGAACAGAGATTTTCATTCCGCGGCGTAATATTAACGCTGATATTAACACACGTCTGACGACTATACTGGAGACTAACCACACAATCATATGTTTATCGTCAGAAGATTATTAATAATAATCGTGTACGTATGGATATATAAGAGTACAATGAACGGACGTATCAACTTTATATTGAAATTTGTATGTATAAAAAAATGCATTGTCGTTTTCTTTTTACCTCCATTATTCCACTACATCGCACGTCTGCAATATCTTTTTCTAAAGGGATAGATACAAATTATAATGCAAAAGTCATTACAGTTCCGTGTATAATATCCCTCCTATTTATTTCACTGTTGTAAATGCTATTCAAGTATAAACGCTACTTCTTGCATCTCGTGTACACGACAATTAAGTCTAAATCTTACAAGATATCAAGTATACGAGATACGGTTGTATATATTATATATTATATATTAATTACTTTTTAATCCTTTCATGGCTAAATTATCCGTGAAAAAGTTTGATGAGATGTTTGAAGAGTGAAATATAAAAGTGACAAGATTAGTGAGTTTTTTGAAGAGAGTCGATTAAAATCGATTACTTTACACGAAAAAAGAAACTTATGTTCCTATATATATTATATGAACTAGTCGATCACATGATTAGAAAAAATGTATCAAGAGCGGTCATGAAAGGATTAAACTCTGCGATCGGGGCTAGGTCTTGGAGTGCTCGACTTAAAGTCATGCGGCCAGTTACTTGCAGTGTGCCGGACGTATCCCGGATCGGTCGGCGACGACGGCATCCTCGGAGTTTGCGTCCCGGTGGTTCTCAGCGCGCCGAGATACTCCTCCAGCATCTCGATCTCGTCCTTGGATCTTTCCCGTTCCCCGGATCGATATTCCTTGGGCGGAGGTGGCACGTTGAAGGACACGTCGCGATGATGAGCCTTCAAGATCCCGGATAACGGACCGCGCATTCTGACGGGCACGTTGTCGTATTGGCTGTTGTCCGAATACCTGAATTCGCGTTCAAATGAAATTATATTCAAGTATCGGCGACACGAGAGATGCGTCAGGAATCGTGAATCATAAACGTCAGAAACGAGGAAATGTCTTTGCCAGCGATTCTTGCAACTCACGTCCGCGACGAGAATGACTCTCCATTTCGATATTAATTCTGACTAAGGTAATCTTTTTTTAGTCCCTAATTATGGATATTAAAAAAAATGAACGAAAGGAAAAAGATGTGATTGCCAATGATTCGATTATAATTTCAAGAATGAAATCTCTCTTCGAGGATTAAATCTTTCGTGCGTCCGTAAATAAACAATTTTTTTGAATAAAAATAGAAAAAGATTTGAAAACCGATTTATACCTTGGAAATTAAATTGTCAGTGTGTCGAATCATTCGTATGACTCAAGAATCGTTCGCGTGCGCTTTCCTGCTTCTGACGACATAATAAGATGGTTGTTAAGTAGGCATCGCCGATACTTAAATAAAAATTTCCGAGCCAGGATGACGCGACGGATTCCGAGTCGACACAAGAAATCACCTGTAGCTGTCAAGCGCCTCCTCGACGTCTCGCTCGATCCTCATGATCTTCACGCTGGGATTGACGATTTTCGCGAACATCGGATCTCCCTTCTCGTGTTCCATGGGAAAGCGAGGGGTGTCGATCTCGTCGATTGGTCGCTGATAAATGTCCCGGCTCTTGTACATTATCCTGGACTCGTCGAACCTACGATCGGATTCGGGCGCGATGTCGGTCTCGCGATATCGCTTCGAGTCCCGTAGAACTCGGCCGTTTTCGAAATTCTGCGCTCGTTCTCTCGGTTCCTGATCGCCGCGAAATTCCCGATCGTCCCGAGAGTCATCCTGCGAACGAACCACCGACGATTCCCGCTGGGATCTCGCTGCTTCGACGTGACGATCCTCCGTCTTCTGGAAAGCGTCGTTCGCGCGACCGACCTCGTCATCGGGAATTTTCACGACGGCCGATTTGGGTTTCGATTTCGTATCCTCACTGGTCACCACTGGCGTTACTTGCCGCTTGCCTGCAGTATTTTTCGGATAGATTCATTAAAAAAAAATTAGAATTATGAATAATAAATAATAGAGATAAATAAAATTTAATTAATTACTCGCGGCACATTTTTGTTGCATCGAGAAAAATTCTCGACAAACAGAGAGAACTTTGCGGAAAGATCTCTATTTAATATTTAAATATAATAATAAATAAATAAATTTGATATTTAATATAATAAAATCTTCTCTTGCTTATATGCAGGTGAATTGAATGGATACGAATCGAGTGAATCTCTTCCGAGATTTAATTAATATTAGCTCACCTAAATCTTTTTCCAGAATTCGCGCCTCATCCTGCTTATCCTTCTTGCGAGGTGGGCTCATCAGTAAATCCCCGATGAATACCAACGCTGTGAGCAGACACAGCGCTCCCAGGACTGCAGCATTGTCAACCAGATCCTCGGGGACGCTGTCGATAGACGCCAACGACAAGGCGCCGACTATCCCGAAGAGGATCACGCCCAGTCCGAGCAGGAAAAATTCCTGAATTTTAATCAAACTTGATAATGTTCTCATTTGAATGGAATCTATTTATCGCTTTGCATAATCGATTAATTATATGTGGAAATTTATTATAATGCAAGAATCTTCAAACGGAAAGCGAGTCTTTACGGCAATAAAATCGGTATTATAGATGATATGTTATCAAGGAAAAACGCGCCTATTTTCGACGGACATGGAATTTTCTTAGAAAACACTGGAAAGATCGACAGCTAACGCGATGCAAATCGCTCGAGATCGGCCCAGCCTCAGTTATGAGTCATTAAATGATTTACATTACGTGTCTCGATTGACCAAGGCTGCGATCACGTGCGCAAAAGTCCGCATTAAAGGAGAACATTATTATCCTTGGCCCCTCAATGACATCGCGTCGCGCTACCGATTTTCTCACGCCACCGTTTCTCTCTCCTCGCTATCGAGATTTACGCGCTGCGTATTTTCACTCGCGACCAACCTCGGAATAAATTAAAAGCGCCTGGGAATAATCTCGACGCGTCGAAATAAATCCTCCCGCCATATCCGTTACGTGAAGCTTCTCTCCGGACGGACTCCTCGCAGCAAGAAGGAAGGAAGGAAGGCTATTCTCGCCGACGAGATGAGATTTAAGATAATATGTACCACGTAAAAATTCAACGGTTCTCCTATCTTTTAATATATCTCGTTTCCAGGAGAGTTCAAGTCAACTGTCATTTTTTTTTTAGAGATATATCGACGCGTCACATCGTCTAACAATCGAGAAAACAACGAATTCGTCGACTCGAATTATTTTTGATAATTTGTTTCCATCATCTACCTGGCTACTCTTCTAATCTCACCGTAAGATCGAGAGTCTACGCCACGCATGTATCCCTACCATAGGTTTCATATTATTGTCGACGTACATTGACGGCTGGTTACGAAACGCACCTACGACGTGTATTCCTTAGCCGTATGAGAAAAAGAAAGCAATTATTACCGTCTTCCGACCGCGGAGCTCCCCGGTAGCCGCGGCGATCAAGAGACCAGTCGTTATGATGATGTATCCGCCGCAGGTCGCCGTTGCGAGAGCAGCTCCTAAATTCGCGGAAACCAGGAAATGAGTATATTAAGAGAGTCCATTCTTAGACGCGAATCACGCAGGATCTCTGTACATGTAGGTGAATCACGAATAATATGCTACCTATGCTGCCCCATGTCACGTTGTTCAACAGTGACCACTCCCGGCTACGATTCCTCAAGTAGTGAAACACCCTTCGACTCTCATCGTCCGTCACCCTGAGTGCCACGACACAAGCGACGCATAAGAGCTGCAATTGTGGACAATTTTTTTCATGTTTTATATTAATCATCATTTTTAGTCTCCTTTTTCAGCTAACATCGTTTTAAATATTTATTTAGAGAAGATATTTTAATCAATTTCTTTGGTATCTAGTTTTTTTTATATGAATTTAATTTAAATATAAATATAATTAAGATCTCTAAGCTAACATCATGATAATTTGATATCGTAAATATCTTGTGTTAATTAATAATTATCGTTAGTATACTATATGTATTAATATACTTAGAGATAATTTTCATTTCATGGGACTATAAATGTGTTAGACGTTAGACTATAAATTTCTCTCGTAACTTGATTCTGATCTCGTGATTCTCTGTTTCTTTTTAAAAACGGAAGTAAAAAGAGAACACACTATATAAAATTATATTGCTTCCGATTTTTAGCGAACCTCAAAGTCAACTATGATAAACATATCTCGACGGTCCAGTCGTAATATCGTATGCATTAATCTTGAAACTGATTTTCCTTTTTTTTTTTTTTTAATAAAGAAGCTCGAGAAATATTCATTTACATACCACTTCGATTATTCTGATGAAGACCTTGCGGTTCCACATGATGCTATCACTAAAGATATGCGATTCCAAAGACGAACGACTAAAGGAACGAGGAATGAACGGTCGTTTGCGAAAGTCTCGTCCCTTTTCGGCGAAGCATTACGTGAACTCTTAAGCTATTAACAAACCGTCCTCGTTTACTTTTGAAAAATCGCTATTCGCATTAATAATTAGCTTTTGTTCCTTTCACGAAGACATCCTTGGCTCCGAGCCAAAGAATTGTAGTCATTTCCAGGTCAAAATAGAAAAAGTGATGAACCTTTCTTACATTACAGAACAATATAAGTTTTAAAATCTTGCCATAAAAATTTACAATTTAATAATAATATTAAAAAGAAAAAATCATGTAGTCTAATAGAATATGTTTAGTGTTTTTTTTTTACAGTATTATATGTATACAATATATCATAATTTATAAATATTTACGAAAATTAACAAATTTTTGACAAACGAAAGCAATCTACTTAAGCTGTTTTTTCCATACGTAAAATAAATATTTTAATTATAAATTTCGGTTCATACAATATTCAAGAAAAAATATCTTATATTTGAAATAAATAAAATTTGAATAAAAGAAAAATAAAATCTTTTATGCAACATTAATTCTTTAGAAATTATTTGCAAATTAATCATCAGTATTCTCGAAAAATGCAGCGAAAAAACACAGCACACGTTTTTTTATTTTCTCGAAACTGTCTATGAATGTGATAAGTGTTTCTTTTTTAAATAAAAAAAATTTTTATATTTATGTCGCTTTGAACGGTATCGCTACACTACGTTAAACGTTCTACTGATAGCTACTCGATAATGAAAAGTAGTTGCGTTATCACTTGCGGCAGGATGTTACGACGGAATCGCAAAACGAAGCTTCGCGTCGCGACGCGCCCGAGCGACGACTGACATGAGAAGATATAGCGAAGGTGGAGTTGCTCGCATACAGGTTGGCGGAACCGCGTGTGTCATGTAATAAGGACTTGTCTGCATGCGAACGACAAATAACAATGCTATTATCACACACGGTGCAATGGCGCAGGACGATGCGAACCCGCAGATATGTGTCACGGAGAAGCTCGTCGTCGCGCTCTCCTCGTACCTTGAACCCGTTCGCAACACATGTTAAATCTCATTACTTGTTATGTATATCCGATTTCTCGACGTCTCTTGAGAAGACAAGAGAGTAATCTCATAGCGTTTTCTTATTCATACCGATTAAACTCAATTTGCCATGAATATATGTTCGACTGAAAATGGGTTTTGAATCTGATTAATATTAATATTATTAATATTAATATTATCAATAATATTAATAATATAATATAAATAATATAAAGTACATTCCGTTTGAAGTTACTTTGATTTTAAAGCACAAGATTTTTTTGCCTTGATTAATCTATTAAAGAGTATTTCATCGATTAATCTAATATTCAAACATCTCTAGTAACTCAAAACGAAGTTTATGACGTCATTAATCGCTCTCAGAGCGATCGAATTTGTTCATTCGAAAACGCTATAAATCTCTCGATAATTCTCAATTTTTTTGAAAATTAGAAAATCAAGCGACATACAAGTATAGAATTGTTTGAATACAAATACAAATTTTATTTATAGCATCGCAAGAGAAAATAAGAAAGATATCCTTCCGAATAAAAATGGATGCTTTATATAAATTAAAATACAAAATAAAACTAAGCAGTTGAAAACAAAATAAGATTATGATAAATTCCAATTATCAAATTAAATAAAATATTATCAAAATTAAATAAAATAAGAAAATTATTTTTTATGTTTTTAAAAACAATTTTTAAAAAACCATACGTCATTAACTTTTTGATCTTACGGATGCGTACTACAAGAAATGTAAAAGTACGCGTAACGCAACATGCGATCGATATCAAGTCACCGAGCGTGGCACGCGATAAGATCAATTGTTTGACAGATGCCGGCTATAAATCCTCCGTCTCGGCGGATGATCAACAGACGAAAATCGAGCCGAGTAAAATTGTTCATTTCACGTCTCGTTCGTCTGGTCTGAAGGAGGAGAAATGCAACGTGTATGGACGAGAGAGACGCAAACCTATCATCCCTTCCACGTCAAATTGTCCGCCAATCCTGACGGACATCCAAAATCCTTGTCCTTTCTCGCGATGAGCGAGCACAACCCGGCTGTTCTCCTCGCCGGTAGCATCAAAGTTCATCTCGTGTCGCGTCGCGTCAATAGATCGATTCTCGAGTGCTGGACCCGCAATAGACTCTATACATAAGAAAATATATTATGCATATATATATATATGTTTTTATACACATATAAATGATAATATCACATGCATAATGCATATATAAATGTGTATATATATTATTCTTATGACCGCTCGCGAAAAGTCATTTTGAATCAGCTGATATCGATTTATTGATCGGGAGATCGCGCGTGATGGAGAGCAATAAATCAAAGGGCGGTCGACGAGGGAATAATCGGAGGAAAAGCGGCGGCAACAAAGAGAACAAGCGCGAGATCGAGAGTATGAAAAACTCGAGGAGCGAGGAATCCGTCCTGTGGTCGCATTATCCCGTGTCCGATGATGAGAGCAGGGTGGATATCGCGGAAGAGGAGACGTCCCTGGAGCTGGAAAATTTCGGCAACGGTGGTAAGTCGAGACATGCTTTGTTCTCTCTTCTTTTCTTTCTTATTGCGTAGAACGCACATTTCAATACACTCGAATTACACACACATGACACGCGCGCGTGACGTCGCGCCAACTAAAAATATTCTGCGTCTCTTCTTTCACGTGTTTCTCTTCCGGAATGGTACGTGCGCGGCGAAAGATGAAAGAGGGAGAGAGAATGTGTATGTGTGTATGTTATTTCGAACAATGCTTCGCCATGGATACAGTTACCCAGTCTTTATTATTTGTATCATGTATACAAACAAGAATGTAACTGTATACATTTTCTTGGATAGGTCAATTGATATTCGATTAAGATTATATATAGAGTTATTAAAGCAATTTTTCATCTTAAATTGCATTTATGTCTTTCGAAACATTGTAATTTTACATCGCAAACATATATTATACTGTGAAACAATCCAGAGATTCACTATAATTAATCTAATGCCAATAATAATTGCGATTATTATTGATATTATTATTATTGCCAATTATTATTGAAAGCTTTTATTGAAAAATTATTTCAATAATTATTGGAAAAGCTTTTGTTCTTTTCTCAATCGAAACGACAAATATTATCAATTATTGTTTCTCTCTCTCTCCCCCCCCCCTCTCTCTCTAAATTAATATTAAAATATTTTCGAAGATAATTATGTTATATATATATTTATATCTAGATCGCGTTCTTTATTAGATTTCTTTTGAAACGAAAATCACAAAAGATATATCTTGTTTTTCACAAAACTTATCTCACTTCGTAATCTTTTAATCTAACATCTGTATATCTTTAATAACGTGCAGGAGGCGAGAATAATCCAAAGAGCTCGCTCATGTGTCCCGCGTTACGTCGGCAATTGCAAACGCACAGAAACGTTCTACGGCTTCTGCACGAATACAAGCTGGCCTCCACCCAGATCAACGGACAGAGGATCCTCAGCATCCAGCCGTTTCGATGGACCGGCCCGACCCCCGGTATCGATTGCGAGATCTTCGTCGGCCGTATCCCGAAGACGATCTACGAGGACACCCTGTATCCCTTGTTCAAGACGATCGGCGAGGTATTTCAGATACGACTGATGGTGGACATGGCCGAGTTGACGAGGGGCTACTGCTTTATCATGTACACGAATCCGGAGGACGCGGGACGCGCGATCGCGCAGTTAGATCAGTACGAGATCTCGCCGGGCAAGAAGATACGAGTCCTGGCGAGCGTAAACAAGTGCAAGCTCTACATCGGCCCGTTGCCGTGGTTCATCGCGTCGGAGGAGGTTGTCAGAGTAAGTATCTTTTGTTTTTTTTTTGTTTTTTTTTGTTTTTTTTTGTTTTTTTTACATTTACGTTATATTTTTTATTTAAGTTGCAATTTATTAAAACTTGTATTTTCTTTTTATCTATTTTTGTTATCTTTTTCTCGCGTTAAATACTATTTTAATTATTACACTGATAGCTCTTAACAATTTAAAACGAATATATTTTTCCTTGGCTTTTTTGGTTTGTTCATTTCTGATTTTTAAAATATTTGACTCTTTCTTTTCGATGTGGCCAGGTGATATATGCATCGGCATGGGATATCGAGTACGTGTCTATTTATCGATTTCCGAATCACGACGCGGCCTATGCTATAGTCTCCTTTAAATCGCATCGCAATGCAGCCTTGGCAAGACGAAAATTGAGACCCGAAAAACTCTTCAAGTGTAACGAGGTACACGTGGAATGGGCGCGTGTCGACTGGAATCCTTCTAATGTGGTAAGTAGAAAATTTTTATTTTTTCCTCTTTTCCCCCGCGAACACATCAGATTTCAACGATTAAAATTGAAGCAATGAAATCTAATCTAATGGATTGCAACTCTACTTTCGGTAATTTTATTTTATTCAGAAAAATTAATAATTATTCTTAAAAATTCATGCACATAATATATTTTTTTTAGATAATGATTTTATTAACTTTCTTAAAATTATATATTTTTTTTAAAAACAAATCTTTTGTACAGCATTGCTTCAATTGAAATCGAAAATAAACGAAGAGAGTCAGTAACAATTATAATTTTTCGATATATTCATGAAAATGAGAGATTTCACAAAAATTATACATATTTATTTATTCATTTAATGTTTATAAGATTTACAAATCTCGTTTTTTAAATTTAATTATTATGTCATATTGGGATGTGTGTAATTAATACGGATTTAGAAAGCCAATGTAAAACAAATATTTAAGATACAATTATTTTTAATGCAACCTTAGACTAAACTTTTATATATCCTTATCTAAAAAAGCCCGTAGCTAAAAAGTTGGTTTGCGTGTGTTGATGAATGAACACCTGTTACTGCATCGAATAATGGAAAATAAAAAATTTCAAGACAAATTGTGCTGCATTATCGACGGAATTTAGCGGCTCGTTTGAAGTGGTTTCGCGTGTTTTTCGTCACGAGGCGCTCATTATGTCATTCGGCTCGGCCGGATTCGGGCAGACTCGGCGATATCGATCGCATCAGCTGATCGGCGTACGCGTTGAGTAGTTTCATTCATGCGGTCGCGCCGGTCAGTTCTTTTCCGTGGAATATTCTCTCGATTACACAATGAGCGTTTCGAAAGTACAGAGCAACGATTATTACGATTATCGCAGTCCTTTATCGACTCGGTACGCCTCCAAGGAGATGCGGTACAATTTCAGTGATCAGAATAAATTCAGCACGTGGCGCAAGCTCTGGATCTACCTGGCTAAGGCTGAGATGGTATGTGCGATAAATTACGATTCACCGGTACATTCGTTTGTGTTGTATTATCGACGTTATATCTCCTGCGAATATAACGTTAATATTATATTTGAATCTTGCGTTTTTCGGCTCTCGTGAAGAGTATTTATTATATAAAAGTGAACTCTACACGAAATGATTAAAACTATATTTATATCTGATCGAAATTAGATACCGCGATTTATAAAAGTTCTAAGACGCGATTCGTCTTTGAAATCGTTCTCTGGAATTCTTTATAAATGAAAGATTTATGAAAAATATAAATACAAGAAATAACAAATAAATAATATATAAATAATATAAATATTTTTGGATAGAAAAATATTTTTTCTTCACTTATCTATGACAAATAAATATACGGCAATGAGCTTTGCGAGAGGATTATGAAACAATTTACAACGTGTTTATATTGCCACATCTCTTATCGATTTACGCATGACATTTCGAAAACATGTTATCTGGTCCACGAAGATTATTTGAAACGTCTTCTTAAGACGTAAGATCTTAGTATAAAGACCTCAAGTTATATAAAAAATATAATTAATTATTATCTAATGAAAAATATATTAAAATACATTTTTTTACACAAATTTCAACATTGCTTATTTAACTCCTTTACAAGGAATCTAAAAAATTAAATAAGGTTGTTTAAGGAATTTATACTTTTCAGCTAATTATCATAAGTTTAAAGAAACAATAAAATACACATTCCAATATGACATTACATTATAATATCATCTGCAACAAAAGAAATATATAACATTTGACAAACTGTTCTCTCGTGATACTTGAAAACTCTCTTCGTATTCTGAAAACTACTTACAACGATATGGTTGGTTTGCATCGACAGTGAATATCAATTAACTTAAAATTAGCTCTCTTTCCGTGTTATATTTATTACCTTATTTTATAAACGTAATAAAAAAAGTAATATATTTGATATCTTGTGTTGTCTGGCTAGAATATTAAACAAAGCAATATACACAAAAATTTACAATATATTTAAAAAGAAAATCCAAAAAAGATTTTAATGTCTTTCAGACATTTTTTATTAGAGATATTTTTTTGAAATTTTTTGGGGACTTTTCATTTCGAGATTAATATTGATAAACGTCGGTGCAACCAGACCTACGTCATCGTCCGGACAAAATCTAATTATTCTCCCTCCGAACTTTGCATATTCCTTATTATCAGTACGAAGATCGTGGCACGGTAGACGATAAGGGCGACGTGCACATTATTCGAAAGTATCTACAATGTAACAATAAGAAGACGACTATGTTATCGTCGGTTCCAATGCAGAGCGAGTTTAATGCTCGCTGCCAGAAGCAACTTCCGCCAATCTGCCCGCCGTCATCGCTCGGCGGTACGAGTAACAACGATCATGACAACCCCCCCGTCAAATCTATTCGCAACTACAACAGCACCCGTTACGCCACCATGCTAACCATGTCGGCGACCCTGGACGATTTCTCGTCGCGCGACAAAAACACGGAGATGCTGACGGACATCAATGACAACGTGCAGATGCTGGACATCGTCAAAGATCAACAGACACGCCAGAAGAGCGATATCGACGCGGTAGATAGCTTCCGCAATTTTGACATGTGGAACTCCAATCTAGTCTCCCAATTGCCCGGCTCGCCCGCCAACTCCGGCAGCTCCAAGGAATCGCCGAATACAACGTATGAATCTGCACGTTGCGACTGGAAGAACAACGCGAAATATTCGTTGCCGAAGACGACACCGTCTTTCAATAGAAGCGTTCCCAATTATCATCGCTATCCCTCTCGCTCTTTCGGCAAGACGATCGACCAGAATCAGCTGATCGTCGCCGATGCCGTTCGGTATCAGAGCATGCAGTATCATCAGAATCGCCCGTCGTGCTACGTCCTGGTGCAGCCTCAGAATTACCTGTGTCCGAAGAATGCGATCGTAACTTATCCGCAATCCTCGTTCGTCAATAATATTCCCGAGGAGCAGGCGCGCGTGTCTTTGCTCGCAGGTTGCGATCGTCGATCATTCTTGTATAACGGCAACCAGATGGGATCGATCGCGATAGATAAAGATCTCATGGACGGCGAATTCCGGCGCGAGAGAGTTCCAGGGAAGCCTGCGGAAACTGCGGACACCGCTGCCGATTTTAATACGTCCGGTTACGTTCAGAATTACTCGCCGAACATCATGTTGAATTTTTTGCCGATCTACGCGTCGGAGAACGGCGGGACGACACCGTGCTTCGTCTCGTTCGACGCGATGAACGGCAACGACGACAAACGTCCCAGACCGATCTTGAAGCAGACGACAACCGGTCGCGCTTGGTGATAAGGATTTTATCTTCCTTCTGTCTTCTTTTTTTTTTCATTTTTTTTTCTTTCGAAGATTGCTTTACGCAGATTTTAGAAAATGACGGCGATCGGATACCAAAGATGGCGTTTTTACGTTTTATTTCACGTACTCTAATGAGGGATAATTATATTAGGATATTTCTCTCTTTTTTTTTTTTTTTATTATCGATATTGCCATCGATGCTGCCAAAGACTCGCGTATAGGTAGTGTTAAGGATCTTTTTTACGCGTAAGCGTTACTAAAAGCTCAATCTAGTTCCTTTAGCTTATATAACTCGCTCGTTTTATAGCATTTTAACGATGCAATCTAGTAGTAACATCTTTGAAACCACGTATAATCGTTGGCATAGATTTATTTTTTTACGATCGATGCGTAATCGCATGATCTCGTTTGCAAAACGAGAAGATTTATACCGGATTAAGTTTTCACCTTCGCGTCGCCGCGAACGTACTTACTATACTTATTTACAGATAAAATAGGAGCCAATCCGAATATTCTAATAATCGCATGATTTTTAAAAGACCTCAGATTTTTTATCGTTATATTTTTATTTTTTATCGTCGCGCGCTCGGGGCGAGAAGAAAGTTCTGGAGAACGCGTTATCAGAAAAAAAAACAAAACAATTATGCAATATCATTCGAAATCGCGCTATATATTTTAACAATACAAGACTGCGCAATTATAAAAAAGATGAAGGTAAAAATGATGGATTACAAGTACACGCGCCAGGGCAGAAATTGGTATCATGTTACAAAGAAGGTACGAATCATGTATTCTCCCGATAATATTATCTAACATTAAGTTACAGTTAATAATCAACAACGCGATCTCTTTCTCTCGTGCTCCTATTCTTCTTCGCGCGAAAAAAAAGAACGTATATACGTTTTACTACTTATCGCTGTTCCTAATGACTATTATATTGTAAGGAATGAGTTTTTAAGACAATCACGATATCGACGCTTCCGGTCACGATTCTCGCAATATCTACTCTATCGACGTGAGATATCTGTAGTTTTGTTACAACGTATGTAATTGCGACGCGTTACATGGAGGAAGGAGAAGAAGCCGCCGTCTGTCTTTGCGATTGACCGCATTTTGGACAAGCGTCTGATTTCAGTTTAATATTCTGCGACTAGAAAAATATTTTCGATCATCTTCAATTTTCGCCGACGATCTTTGACAGATCGGCTAATTTCAACTTACAGTTTTAACGCCTCGCGCACGAAGAGATAATCGACAATTGGCACACCGTAGCTTCTTCAAATCGGTGACTTCGAGCCTGCTCGTTATCTATAAAAAGCGAAAAAAGAGAACATATATCTTTTTTAAAAGCAAATCAAGTAATTTAAGAGAAAAAAAAGATTGCTTTTATCACGATCGATTTGACTAGATATATCTTTATTATTTTGTTTGCACGATTTTTCACACAAGTAAATCTGTTTTAGCCAGACGTTTGTAACATACAGAGAAATATTTTCCGCCCGAAAAGTTGGAATAAAAATCATAATAACACACATATATAGAGATTGATAACAAGAGAAAATATTTACCCTTTTACTGTCTGACGGGGCGCAAAACTCGCAGAAGTATCTTCCTCTTTTGTCTTTGAAAATGTTGCAGCAGTTTGTCGAAGTTGGTGTTAAACTCTGAAAATATGTGCAACTGAATGATAAATTTTCAGACACGATCGGAATAATGGAAATCATCGCGCTTTAAAGTCACCTGTCGCTTGCAGTGCGAGCAATCATCGTTCATCCGATGCTCGATCGGATTCGGTGATTCAGCACATTCGTCCTGGAATACGAATGAGAAGCGAGATACACTCTGTTGTAATCTATTTTTTTCAGAATATATTTTTTATACTTTTTGAACAGCCGAGCTCACAAACGTCCTCGACGGTCCCGCGACGGGATCTTCGTCAGATACATCTCTAAATGATATTACAAATAATATAATTGAAACTAATTATAATTATATTATAGCGTATTTTCGAATTATCGTGTATTATTTACGAGAGTTTTCGCTTGCTTACGCGTCTCTGATTGGATCCACCTTGTTCGATTTCAAATGCAACAATGTTCTAGATTTCGTTCTACTACTGCTGGCGAGCGACGACATCAGCGTTTCACTTCTGAAAAACGATCGTTTTTTCCAGATTATATTATATCCATTTCTTTAGACAAATGTAATGTCGGGGTGTCTACTCCCTGGAAAAACCTGGAATTTCTCAATTTTTTTTTTGTACCTGAAGAAATCAGGGAATTCTCGTGGAATTTTATTGAGACCCAGGAAATTTTTTTTAAAAATTTTTTCTGATAATTTTGCTCTTTTATTGTAAGCAATCGACAAGTGAATTACGTGTTTAAAATATATTATAAATATACATATATCTCTGTTTATATATATTCAATGTTTTAATAAAATATTGAATATATGCAATATATTGTAATTTTTAATTAGAATTTAGTATTAGAAAACGTATACGATAAAAAAATTATTTTATAAAATGCACCAAAAAATCTTTCAAATATTTTTACCTGGAATTTTGAACAAAAATACCTGAAAAATCGGAAAATCTTTTTTAAAAAAAATTTTAGTAGACACCCTGTGAAACTACAGTCGATTCAGCTACGCAAAACTTTGTATTGAATCGATTGTCGCCTTCGAGAGACAATATTCCGCCTACATTTGCGTGCCTACGGTGTGCGTCGTCGATTCCTTCAAACTCGACACGCTTCCTTCTTCCGATGCGCGCATAAGTTGATGATAAATTGTCATTTGACGCTCCTCTCCTCCTCCCCCTTTACTTCTTTCAATTTTTTCATCGTATTCGACTCCTTTAACCATCTCCTCTCTCCTTCCCTCCGTGCTTTCCTTATCTGTTTTCCCGACGAGGGACTGGACGATCGTGTCTCGGACCAACGCGGGTTCCTCGCCCTTGGCGAGCATTGTGATTATATCTTCCGTCAATATCTGTCTGGGTTGGCTTGTCGTATTCCCGTCTCTCTTTGCCTCCGTTACGTCGACCTTTCGCTTAGATCTGTGAGATTAATTGGACCATAGTTTAAATCATAATTTCCAATATTTAATTATTCGACAATTGTATTATATTTGTTTTATTTTAAATATTGTCAGTGAAACACTCGTGTAATTATTTTCAAAAACTTTTAGATAAATTTGCGACGCGCGTACGCAGGATTTACTGGGTTACTCGATGGTGTCTGCATCTTGTCCGGTTTCACGTAGAAGGAGGCGAGAGTGAGTCTCGTGACGGTTTGAGAGGTTCCCTTCGTTACTTTTGTCGGACTATCGGTGATCTTGTCTTTCGAATCTTTGGTGATAATTATAAACATTTATGCACAATACACAGTGATACCGTGAGATTCAGGATCAGATCCATATACACATATACGCATATATATATATATGTATAAATAATGCATAAAACGAGCCGTTTCAACGACTTGAAAAATTTGTAGAGTCGTTTTATTCATTATTCAAAGCGATATATATATTCTAGGATGGCAAACAAAATAATTAAGAAATGAGAAAGATATTCTCGATAAAATCATGCCAGAGATTTCTGACCCTGAATGATAAGGATTTGACACAGTTTCGTATATCAGATTTACTCGTAACCTGCGGTGTCGCCTCACTCGTCAATATTCTGCTAGTTTTTGGTCCCGGCGCCGCTCGAACCGGCGATTCCCCACCTTTTGACGTTGATAACGGCCGAGATTGCCTTTGCAACTGCGGCTGCGGCTGCTGCTGCTGTTGAGTCTGCGGTGCGCATTTGCATCTGCGAGAGGAGAAGGATTTAGGTCGCGTTTCTTCGGATCTGCACGTACAAGAAATCACTCATACAAATTACCCGGGACAGCACGGCATGCCGGTTCCTCCGCGGACGAATTGCACGATGGCGGGATAAGACCATTGCGGCACATACTGTCCGGCTGCATCGCCGGTGACGGTGCTTTGCATCGATTGTTGGCAAAACTCGCATTTGGCGAACGTTTGCATCGGCGTTTCTATCACGACCGTGCTCGGGGTCTGATTTCGTTCGCGAGAAAGGGAAAAGCACGCACATATGAATCCCAGATAGTACACAAAATAATATAATAATAACTATGCAAATTAATCTTATCGATATAGTGATGTATGTATGTATATAATTAAAAATATTAAATTTATTAATATTTTTAATAATATACATTTAATTAATATTTTTATATTTATTATAAAATATTT